GAAATCATACTTCAACTTGAGTATTTTTTTAACACTAGTATCTGTACTTCAGCACAAGTACACGATGTCTGTAGCTGTGCTGAAGAGGACGTCTCCATTGCCCTTGTAGTTAATTCTATCATTTAGCACCACTTCCCAATATCATCACGTTTGGCTTCATAATCCCAAACACTGTGGTGTCATATTCATTATATTCATTTTCTAGTTAAAACCAACATAATAATGTTTGAGGAACGGCAACATTTATAGTACTTTGTGCAAGTTTTCCCACTATTGGTTCCTCATAAGCTCCTGTGGAAACAGTTTGTATGAAATACAGTTATTATCATGTTATTATTGACTAATGTCCTTCTTGTTTGACTATAAATCGTCTGTTCTGAGAAAAGTTTTACCAAAGTGACACTTTGGCACAATTTGAAAATGTATGAACTTGTGATGAAGGTCATGTATGAATGGTTCTTCTTTCACAGGCAATTCTAATTGAAATCAGAGCTGTCTGATTTATACCACAGCATTCAATAGTTGTGTAATTTCACTATAATGTCACGTGCCCTGCTGCTCCATAACTAACAGCATTACACTGAACATGAATCACTTATTGTTGTCTCATTATTTCAACAGATTACCTGCGTAAAACAGAGCAGGGTAGGTTTCCAGCGCGAGCCTCTCACATACGCACACATGTGCATTTGAACACAAGCGCATATTAATGGCCTCGCCTCCAGTGTTCCCTGCAGAGGAAAACCACATCCATCAGTCCTCCAACACAAACCACACACTGCTCTCTCATAACTATGCTCAGAGCAGAGTGAGAGCTAGTACAAGCTAAGTGCTTTCCAGCCACCACACTCAGGTCGCACTAACACAGAAGCAGGAGATGATGTATTCTCCACAGGGACGCTGCTGCTCGGTAAGGGACAGCTGCTGGAAAAAAGCAAGAAACGTAATTAATAGAGTGTTGTTTTATTTCTTTGTTTTTATCTGAATAACCTTTGTTTCCACTTGGGCAACATGTTTCAGGTAAAAGAAATATGTATGATCACATTTCTGTCAGTGTTTGTCTTGCAAGGTATCTGCAGCTGAGCAGCTTCCAACTATCTTGGGTGAATAGACTTTAGAAAGTTCACTTGGAGGCTTTAAATCTGTCCAAGCAGGAAAGACATCTTCACCTACATGCTACCTCAACGACTCCTGATGGTTTTACACTCGTGTTATGACGACACTGTACTTCATTGTTTCCAGTGGCTTCTGCCAGGCCGTGGCAGTTTATCGGTGTTTCACACAAACAACACACTAGAATAAGTACCCGTGTGGACGGGACGAACGAGGCATCCAACCAGGCACAGAGGACAGAAATGAGGACGAGACGATACTGTGTGTGTGAATCCTCTGATTTCTATGATACAAATTGGTGCTTTTCTTGATGTAGCTGGAGGTAAGCAGGAAGTTTTGTCAGGTAAGTTTTAGCCATCAGTCAGGTAGCACAACACTTGTGTAAACATAACTGGCAATGCTCACAATGCTCTCATATTAGCTGCCAACCTACTTATTTAATCCTGCTTGGATACGTCCACGGTGGAAACTTTCCTTTTTGCTATGTATTAACAGACCTCTCTGCATTGAATCATATCTGTTATTAACCTCTGTCTCTCTTCCACAGCATGTCTTTATCCTGTCTTCCTTCTCTCACTCCAACCAATCACAGCAGATGGCCCCGCCCCTCCCTGAGCCTGGTTCTGCTGGAGGTTTCTTCCTGTTAAAAGGGAGTTTTTCCTTCCCACTGTCGCCAAAGTGCTGCTCATAGGGGGTCATATGATTGTTGGGTTTTTCTCTGTATGTATCTGCTGGAGGTTTCTTCCTGTTAAAAGGGAGTTTTTCCTTCCCACTGTCGCCAAAGTGCTTGCTCATAGGGGGTCATTTGGGTTTTTCTCTGTATGTATAATTGTAGGGTCTACTTTACAATATAAAGCACCTTGAGGCGACTGTTGTTGTGATTTGGTGCTGTGTAAATAAAACTGAATTGAATAGAATTGTTATAATTCAATAAATCTGTGTTTGTCTGTTCATTGCATTTTTCAAGCAGCATTTCTCTGATTTATTTCAAAGTTGGTGGAAATATTGCTTTAAACACAAATATGTACACTGTTGAGTTTGAGTTTGTATCAGTGAAAAGATAATGTTATATATATAATAAGAAAAAAACTAGCAGTGACTATAATCATAACATTCAACTCTGCTGTAGTGGTGTGTGTGTAGTGTGTGTGTACAATAAAGAGATAGTGTCAGTGTGGTGTGTGTAGATAAAAGATATAATGTAAAAGAATAGATATAAGTTGCGCAAGAAAAATAGTAGGGTGTGTGTTGGTTGTGAGAGAGGCAGGAGAGAGTCAAGTGTTATATTTTGCCAGCGAGAAGAACTTTACAGAAGAAAACGTGAGTACACCAAGTGCTGGTCATAATTGTTATTGTTACATATCAATATAGGATCTGTTGACCCACCTCGACAGAGAGGCAGTCGTGTCTGCCTGTGCGTCTCTTCATCAGTCTAATCATTCCTGATTTCTTTCCTGCTGACTGAGTCCACCATGATAACAAAAACCTTTTCCTCCTCCTAAAGTCTCAAGGCTGTCAGTAACACACGTGCATCCTTGGTTGGAGGCCATAAAAACAAAATACTCACATCTACTAAGGAAATTATGTAAGAGCTTGAATATGTTCGTCCTTGCATGTATTTACACTCAAAAAGCAGTTTCATGTGTGTCACGCTTGTGTGTGTCCTTCCTTCATGAAGGTTTCTTCGGCTGTTGAATTATTTGCATTTTTACTTTGCTTGATCACATCACAGAGACTCTGCGAGGCAGCACCACGTGGTCGTACTCGAGGCGCACACAGCGGTCTGTTACTGCAGTATTAGCTTGATAATAAACTGACTGCATATTTTATTTTTCTCTCATCCATCGACACCATCTGACTCATTTGAGATGAACCAATCACATCAAAGCTTCTGTTTGAGGGTGATGACATCATCTGTGGTGCATGCCAAACGCATGCAGCGAT